CCTTTAAACCCAGATTCTTTGGTCACTGGACCCAACTGGCCATGTGGATGCCAGCGCCATAGTAAGTAGAGCTGAAGCCTGTCGCAATCCCCAGTCTCGTGTTTTCAGTGTCCTGGAGTTACAGAATGGCAAAAATTGCTGTTTAATCACCTACTTCCCTGTTCCTTCAGGAATGTGACACTGCAGTTTCATGTGCAAGGACAAAAGTGGCACAACAGACCAAAAATAGTGATTAGATAATGAAATCAATAGATGATTGTATGTAGAAAAAACTATTTGGTGCACACTGTGTGATTTGATGAGTATGAGTCTGAACCCATTATTTCCAATCTGGGGTTTCTGCACTGTGCTGCACTTGAGGAGGGGCAGTATAGTATAGCTGCAGTATAGTTTAATTACATACTTACCTGCTTATCTGCAGAAATGCATCACCTGGCCATTTTTTTCAGTCTGTCAGGTAACATTTAGGAGCAACTAAAAAAGTTGCTGCTAATAATGGACACTGTTATCAGTTCTTAAATCCAGTTCCTGTCTGTTAGTCTGAAGATGGACTGGATGTTTCCTCTTGATCCCAGATGTGATTCTGATTTCTCTTCTGTGCAGGTCCTGACCCCCTGGAGGGCATATGTGCTGCAAGTAATACTCCCAATCAGGGTAAGTGCTTTTTTTATATTATTCTGGATTTGTCACTAAAAGCAAGTTTTGCTATACCCCATGCAATAGTGTTATGCTTCTCCCAAACTTGAAAAACAAAAGAGAAGAAAAGCCATCTCTAGGGCACAGCCTGTGGGGTGGTTATGGAGGCATGGGGGTGGTAACTCCTTTTGAAAAGTGAGGAAGATATTTAGATATTCATTTTCCAAGATACAGTCCACTCCTACTCTTGCCAGACTGATATGGCCAAAACGTTGGGAGAAGTCACTTAGGATACATACAGTTGGTGCATATGTACAGCCTGGACTCATGACTTCCTTGGGATTTGGCTTTAACAGTAGCTGAAGTGACAGCAAGGCAAAGTGAACATCAGCCTGAGCTTGGCCCTTCCCTGTAGAACCTTTTCTGTCCCAGAACTTCATTTCCTCCTGCACTTCCCAACATCCTGGTAAATTTAATGAGCACCTCCTGGTGCACTGAGCCAGTGCTTCCCACCCAAGCAATTTTAGGCATATGTGGGAGCCAGGGTGATAACTTATCTTGGCCAGGCTGTCCCTGAGCTGTCCCCTTCCCACTCACTACCTTACACATGCTTCAAACCCAGAATTATACTGGTGATGAAATTCTGGTGATGAAGGGGCATCCCTCTGCGTTTGCTCTCGATGCTTTGGTTTCTGTGCCTGACTCTTGGAGATGCCTCTGGAGCATCTTCATTGACATAGCTCTGGGCTTGGAACATACCAGCTAGAGCACTCAGCAGGGCAGGGCATGATTAATGCCATTCGGACTAGGGCAAGCTGCTGCTGTGGTGTAGCTGGGGAGGAGAGATGGGGAAGAAGGAGTGCGAAGGAGTACTGGCAGCCACCTCTTCTCCTATAGCCCTTTTAAGAAAAAGAGTAACTACCACTGCATTTTGGGTGGAGTCAGATGGTGTAGGAAAGCTCTGGAAACACCTAGGGCTGGTTCAACCGTTAGGTGAACTAGGCAGTCGTCCAGGGCACCAAAATTTGGGGGGTGCCAAAATTATATGCAGAACAAAATAACAGGAACATCATTCTAAATAACAGTCCTGGCCACCTGTTATAATTGTGTTAGGGTTAATGAAAAGTGTGAAACAATCAATAAAAAACCCTGTTTTTATTGTTTTATTGTTCATTTTGAATATCAAATAAGTACATGTAAAAGTTATTTCTAGACTTCTTATTTTCCCCTGTATTGGAAGTGGTGGGGTGCCAAGGTACACAGTTCGCCTAGGGCGCCAATTACCCTTGGACCAGCCCTGGTGCCTCACGCTCCTCAGGGGACTGGGTGATTACTTAATCCCTAGATTCAGATAAGGCTATGGGGTGAGATAGACACCAAGCTGCTTCACAGAATCATAGAGAATTTGGTTGGAAAGGACCTCAGGAGGGACAACCTCTCAGGGCTTTGTCAAGCTGGACCTTAAAAACCTCCAAGGATGGAGATTCCACCACCTCTCTAGGTAACCTGTTCCAGTGCTTCACCACCCTCCTAAGTGAGAGTTTTTCCTAATATTCAACCTAGACCTCCCTTGCTGCAACTTGAGACCATTGCTCCTTGTTCTGTCACTACTCAGAAGAGTCCAGCTCCATCCTCTTTGGAACCCCCCTTCAGATAGTTAAAGTCTGCTCTCAAATCCCCCTCTTGGTCTTCTTTTCTCCAAACTAAATAAACCCAGTTCAGTCTTCTCAAGAGAGAAGTGCTTCTGGATAGGTGCTGAGGCAGATCGTGAAAGCTCTTTGGGGCTTCACTGTTCAGAAACCTTGTCATTCTGACTGTGGTTCTACCATTGTCTGATATACCTCTCTCTTGTGAGGAACTGGATGCTAGCTGTGGAGCTGTGCAGTATCTTCTCTCCCAGCCTGAGACACTGACACAGTTGCTTTCTCTGACAGTTCCCCCCCACTTCTAAGCAGAATAGATAAAGGAGGAATCGCTGGCAGAATCTGTCATTCACAAAGTGGCTTTGGGCAGACTGTGCATCTGTGAGCAGATAGGAGAGCTTATGTTTGTGTATACCTGTGTGTGAATAGGTATGCCCATGAGTACCTGTGTGCACATACATGTGAAACATTGCCAGGCACATAAGAGTGAAGCTGGAGCTGCAACTCTGCTACTTTGGTATTTCTGGCCTGGCCAGCCACTCATCAGACCCATTGCCTGTAGCTGGAATGATGAGTGCTCAGGTCCTCTGGGAACCAGATCTGGACCTTCAGCGCACTCTTAATGCTGTAAAGGTGGCAGTTGCCTTTGGCATAGAGCATGGATTCAGGATAAAGCTTGTGGGGGAGACCTGGGCTGTGAGGCAGGAGAATGAGGCTGAGAGGTAGGGGCAAAATTCACGCTGAGGAAGGCTGGACAAGGGGGGTCCATCAGTGGATGCAAGGGGCTGGGCCTCTGCTGTGGGGTGCCAGCTTAGGCTGAGTGTATGCACTGGGGCGGGCTGGAGTTAGGGTGTCTGGAAGAAGGACAAGTTGTGCACACTGGGAGCAGGGTTCATAGGGATTCACCGTCTCTACTGCTCTCTGGGCCAGAGCAAGCCCTGCTGCCTGCTCCTGGGTGCCAGGACTTGGGCTGCAGGTGATGATGACACCATGGTATGATGTGGGATGCAGCCTCTCTGAGGCAGGAAGTGGGCAGCATAAGGCGGAAGTTGCCTGCTGGTGACTGAGTCTGTCTTTCCAGGTGCAGAGCAGCTTCAGCTTCCTGGAGGTGCGAGAGATTGTAGTCTGTGAGCCTAGCCTGGTGAGTACAAGCACAGCAGAGAGCTTCTCCTCAGGGGCCTGCCTTGGAGCTCCTGAGCAGGCCTGGCCTTGGCCCTGGCATTGTCTAGGTGTACTGGTACAGCCTGGTCAGCTGTGCACAATGCCCTCTCTTGGTGAGCTAAGAGGTCCTGGAGGGAAACTGAATGCCTCTAGGATGTGTGGTACAAACACCCAACACTAGGAAAGCAAGGTTTGTTTGGCAGTACCTTTTACTGGGCCTACCAAAGAATTGGGAGAGAGATTAGACCAGCTTTTGGGTACAAAATGGAGGCTCATTCCAACTCCCTACTACCAGATGAGTGATCCTTAGCAGAGCTCAGATCAACCTGGGGAGACAGTGTGACTCTTATTTACTTATGATGATTTTATATAGTGTCAGGAGTCCTGCGCTAGATGTTGCACACATGCTGAGTGGAAAGACAGCAGCACAATACCCACTAGGGTCTTCTGTACCACCCTGAGCCTTGTTTAACTGATCTGTACCACCAGGGTTATATCGACATGTTTGACTCCCTAGGCTCCCTTATTCGGTCAAAGTAAATGCAATAAAACTATTGCCAGCTCTGCTGCTGACCTGCACTGTGACCTGGGAAGAGTCATGTTACATCCCTAGGTCTGTTCCCCACCATTTTACAATGTGGGCAATATCTACTGACCTTTAAGATCTACAGTGGTTGTTTACTACTTTTCCTCAGTGAACTAACAAATCCTCTTATGGAAAGACTAGAATTATCCTAGGGATATTGCCTACAGGAGCCAGGAGAAAGATATATAAATCTAGAATCACCCATAGTCACACTATGACAGGATAGGTCTGAGTCACAGAGTTGGCTTTGTTTGGATCGCCTAACATTATTTTCTATTGGAGAGCAAAATGCAGATTGACAAATGCTGCAATTCCATGTTTTACTTCTCAGTCCAGTGTATTAAATGCACTACCATACGTTGCAGATCACATCGTTGTAAACATTCTAGCAGGAAAGATAATACAGTACAACAGCGGTTCTCAAACTTTTTTTTTCATGGACCACATGAAAATTGCTGAGTGTCTCAGCGGACCACTTAATCAACTTTTTTTTGTTCTACAAATCAAAGCACGAAACTCATTTTAATATTGGTAGTCTTACCTTACAAGTACAGATGTTCTCTATTGTTCCACAACCTTTCTGTGGACCACCTGAATGGAGCTTGCGGACCAGTGGTGGTCCATGGACCACAGCTTGAGAACCGCTGCAGTACAAAATTTGACAAGTCCATTGCTTTCTTTCATATTTCAGTAATAATTCATGCTTTGCAAGGACCTGGTGAATGCAAGGTGATAAACTGCACTTAGCTTACAGTCACATCCAAATTTAGCAGAAGGGAATTTAAAACTTTGTAAATCCTCTTATGGAGAAGATTATGTATATGGCAGACCTAACTGTTAGGGTGACCCATAAAAATGCTGATATAGAACATGCCATTCTGAGTATGAATTGGGTCAAAATTAACCTGGATTTCTTATGTATTTGCTTATTTGACTAACTTATATTTCTCTTGCCATTGAAAACTATAGCCTAGAACTGGAAATACAGTATCTGATGTTTGAAGTTATGGAAACAGTCTGATTTTTTTTTTTATTTTATTGTGCTAGAGCAGGGGTAGGCACCGTTTTTTGGCCGGAGTGGCGAAAACCCCCACAATGCCTACCTCGGAAGGTGCAGGAATGCCGGGATGCTGGAAAAACGAAATGGGGACAGGGGGTGCGTGGCAGGATGCCCTGCTACCCCTTGCCCCCCAGCCCCA